AAGATGGTATCCCAAAAGCAAATGGTACTTGAGTTTTGTGCATGGTGACAGTTATGGGTCTATTTGTAATCTTTTACATATTGACATTCAGTTATGCCAGCACCATTTGTTGAAGATACTTTCTTTTTTCCATTGTATAGTTTTGGCTTCTCTGTCAAAAATCAGGTGTTCATATGTGCGTGGATTAATGTCAGGGTCTTCAATTGGATTCCATTGGTCTGTATGTCAGTTTTTATGCCAGTACCAAGCTGTTTTTATTACTATAGCTCTATAGTAGAGCTTGAGTCAGGGATGGTGATTCCTCCAGAGGTTGCTTTATCGTACAGGATTCTTTTAGCTATCCTGGGTCTTTTGTTTTTCCATTTGAAGTTGAGTATTTTTCTTTCCAAGTTTGTGAAGAATTGTGTTGGGATTTTGATGGGGATTGCATTGAATCTGTAGATTGCTTTTGATAAGATTGTCATTTTTACTATGTTAATCCTACCTATCCATGAGCATGGGAGACCCTTCCATTTTCTGATATCTTCTTTAATTTCTTTCTTTAGAGATTTAAAGTTCTTATCAAAAAGGTCCTTCACTTGTTTAGTTAGTGTTATCCCAAAATATTTTATATTTTTTGTGGCTATTGTAAAGGGTGATGTTTCTCTGACTTCTTAATCAGCCCTTTTATCATTTGTGTATAGGAGGGCTACTGATTTTTTTGAGTTGATCTTGTATCCTGCCACTTTACTGAAGGAGTTTATCAGCTGTAGGAGTTCCCTGGTAGAATTTTTGGGGTCACTAATATATACTATCATATCATCTACAAATAGTGAAAGTTTGACTTCTTCCTTTCCAATGTGTATCCCTTTGATATCCTTTTGTTGTCTTATTGCTCTAGCTAGAACTTCTAGTACTATATTGAATAAATATGGGGAGAGTGGACAGCCTTGTCTTGTTCCTGATTTTAGTGGTATGGATTTGAGTTTCTCTCCGTTTAATTTGATGTTGGCTGTCGGCTTGCTGTAAATTGCCTTTATTATGTTTAGGAATGTTCCTTGTATTCCTGATCTCTCTAAGACCTTTATCATGAAGGGGTGTTGGATTTTGTCAAAGGCTTTTTCAGCATCTAATGAGATGATCATGTGGGTTTTTTCTTTCAATTTGTTTATATGATGTATTATATTGATAGATTTTCGTATGTTGAACCATCCTTGCATCCCTGGGATGAAACCTACTTGGTCATGATGGATAATTTTTTTTTGATGTATTCTGTTTGCCAATATTTTGTTGAGTATTTTTGCATCAATGTTCATGAGGGAGATGGGTCTGTAATTCTCTTTCTTTGTTGCATCTTTGTGTAGTTTGGGTATCAGGGTAATTGTAGCCTCATAAAAAGAGTTTGGTAGTGTTCCTTCTGTTTCTATTGTGTCCAACAATTTTTTTTTGGTTTTTCGAGACAGGGTTTCTCTGTAGCTTTAGAGCCTGTCCTGGACTCGCTCTGTAGACCAGGCTGGCCTCGAACCCACAGAGATCTGCCTGCCTCTGCCTCCTGAGTACTAGGATTGCAGGCGTGCACCACCACCACCTGGCTGTGTGGAACAATTTGAAGAGTATTGTTATTAGTTCTTCTTTCAAAGTCTGGAAGAATTCTTCACTGAAACCATCTGGTCCTCGGCTTTTTTTGGTTGGGAGACTTTTGATGACTGTTTCTATTTCTTTAGGGGTTATTGTTCTATTTAAATGGTTTAATTTTGGGATGTAGTATCTGTCCAGAAAATTGTCCATTTCTTTTAGATTTTCCATTTTTGTAGAGCACAGGTTTTTGAAGTATGACCTGATGATTCTCTGGATTTCCTTGTTGTCTGTTGTTATGTCTCCCTTTTCTTTTCTGATTTTGTTAATTTGGATGCTCTCTCTCTCTCTTTGCCTTTTGTTTAATTTGGATAGGGGTTTGTCTATCTTGTTGATTTTTTCAAAGAACCAACTCTTTGTTTCATTGATTTTTTTTTGTATTGTTCTCTTGGTTTCTATTTTATTGATTTCAGCCCTCAATTTTATTATTTCCTGGTGTCTATTCCTCCTGGGTGAGTTTGTTTCTTTTTGTTCTAGAGCATTCAGGTGTGCTGTTAATCCATTCGTACGAGATTTCTCCATCTTCTTTATGTGTGCATTTAGAGTCATGTATTTTCCTCTTAGCACTGCTTTCATAGTGTCCCATAAGTTTGGGTATGTTGTACTTTCATTTTCATTGAATTCTAGGAAATCTTTAATTTCTTTCTTTATTTCTTCCTTGACCCATTGATGTTTCAGGTGGGCATTATTCAGTTTCCATGAGATTGTAGGCTTTCTATAATTTTTGTTGTTGAAGTCTAACTTTAAGGCATGGTGGTCCTATAAGATACAGGAAGTTATTCCAATGTTTTTTTGTATCTGTTGAGATTTGTTTTGTGACCAAGCATGTGGTCAGTTTTTGAGAAGGTTCTCTGGGGTGCTGAGAAGAAGGTTCATCTTTTGTGTTAGGATGAAATGTTCTGTAGATATCTATTAAGTCCATTTGCATCATAACATCTGTTAGGTCCTTTATTTCTTTGTTAAATTTCAGTCTGGTAGATTTGTCTTTTGATGAGAGTGGTGTGTTGAAATCTCCCACTACTAATGTGTGGGGTTTGATGTGCATTTTACGCTTTAGTAATGTTTCTTTTATGAATGTGGGTGCCTTGTATTTGGGGCATAAATGTTCAGAATTGAGACTTCATCTTGGCAGATTTGCCCTGTGATAAATATGTAATGTCCTTCCTGAATTCTTTTGATTGATTTTAGTTTGAAGTCTATTTTATTAGATATTAGGATAGCTATACCAGCTTGTTTCTTAGGTCCATTTGCTTGGAAAGTCTTTTCCCAGCCCTTTACTCTGAGGTAGTGTCTGTCTTTGAAGTTAAGGTGTGTTTCTTGTATGCAGCAGATGGATGGATCCTGTTTTCTTATCCATTCTGTTAGTCTGTGTCTTTTTATAGGTGAGTTGAGACCATTGATATTGATGGATATTAATGACCAGTGATTGTTAATTCCTGGTTTGTTTGTTTGTTTGTTTGTTTTTGTGGTCATGTTGTGTTGTCCTTCTTTGGTGTTTGTTGGTGTGGAATTATCTATTGCCTGAGTTTTCATGGGTGTGTTTAGCTTCTTTCGGTTGGATTTATCCTTCTAGTGCTTTCTGTAGGGCTGGATTTGTGGACAGGTATTTATTAAATCTGGTTTTATCATGGAATATTTTGTTTACTCCGTCTATGGTGATTGAGAGTTTTGCTGGGTATAATAGTCTGGGTTGGCATGCGTGGTCTCTTACTGTCTGCATAACACTTGTCCAGGACCTTCTAGCTTTCATAGTCTCTATTGAGAAGTCTGGTGTTATTCTGATGGGTTTGCCTTTATATGTTACTTGGTCTTTTTCCTTTACTGCTCTTAATATTTTTTCTTTGTTCTGTATGTTTAGTGTTTTGATTATTATGTGGTGAGGGGAATTTTTTTTGCATCTAACCTATTTGGTGTTCTGTAAGCTTCTTGTATCTTCATAGGTATTTCTTTCTTTAGGTTAGGAAAATTTTCTTCTATGATTTTGTTGAATATATTTTTTGTGCCTTTGAGTTGGTATTCTTCTACTTCTTCTATCCCTATTATTCTTAGGTTTGGTCTTTTCATGGTGTCCCAAATTTCTTGGACGTTTTGTGTTACGACTTTTTTGGTTTTAGTGTTTTCTTTGACTGACACATCTGTTTTCTCTATTGTGTCTTCAGTGTCAGAGATTCTCTGTTCCATCTCTTGCATTCAGTTGGTTATGCTTGTTTCTGTAGTTCCTGTTCATTTAGTCAGGATTTCTATTTCCAGCATTCCCTCAGTTTGTGTTTTCTTTATTGTCTCAATTTCATTTTTCAGATCTTGGATTGTTTCCTTCATCTGTTTAATTACTTTTTCTTGGCTCTCTTTGATTTCTTCCAATTTTTTTGTTTGTTTTTTCTTCCATTTCTTTAAGGGAATTTTTATTTCCTCTTTAAGGGAGTTTTTCATTTCCTCTTTAAGGGAGTTTTTCATTTCCTCTTTAAGGGAATTTTTTATTTCTTCTTTAAGGGCCTCTATCATCTTAAAGTCATTTTTAGGAGAGATTTCTTCTGTTTCTTCTGCCTTGGTATGTTCAGGTCTTGCAGGTGTAGAATCACTAGGTTCTGATGGTGTCATATAGGTCTTTATGTTGTTGCCTGTATTTTTGCACTGGCGTCTACTCATCTCTAAGGCAGTGTCTGTGTCTGAAGGTGCCTCTCTTGTTCTAATTGTTAGTCTTGGTTCACTAGGAGTTCTTGGTTAAATTGGTGCTGTTGGGCTCTGTTTCTTCAGGAGCAGCTTAGCAGTGTTAGTTTGTTCTGTCTCTGGGAGCAGTTGTTCCCAGTTGGTGTAGGGTGTGCTTATGGTTTCAGTGGTTGTTAGGTTTGGAGGTGTTAGTTTTGTTTGTTTTTTGTTTTTTTTTGGAGGGGGGGGGTTGGTGGGAGAGCAGGGAAAGGTAACTGTCTGGTCTCTGGGACTCCGATGGGTAGGGCCTAGGGGCTAGAGACCTGATCTGTAGGTCTGGAGATGGGAGCTTACCTGTTCTCAGTTGGTGAAGTGCATACATACGATTCTGGTGATCTGGTTGGGTGGCTGGGCGGCGCCTTCTTTTGTGTGCTCATTCATCAACTCCCCAGCTGATCTTGTTTCCTCAGACTTCAAACTGTAGGATTCTGAATCCTCTCCCAGATGGATTTCAGCTGAGCAGGGTAGTCTCACCAACACCTCCAAGTTGTTGGGTTTCGCAGGATCAGCAGCTGGGCCCTGGGTTGGCCTCAGACAGTGTTCAGATCTGTTCTGGTCTCATCCCACAAAGCCGGCTCCTTCCTCAGGTGTTGGGATTAAAGGTGTCCCTGTTCCAAGCTCTTGATTAAGAGCTTGTTTTCACTAACTCTTCTTGCTTGTGTTTTTAAGAGCACGTTCTGGTGTTCGCTTCAGCAGCACATATACTACAACTGGAATGATACAGAGAAAATTAGCATGGCCCTGCACAAGGATAACACACAAATTCATGAAGCGTTCCATATTAAAATAAAAAAGAATGCTTCTGGTCCTGCCGGAGTTGTCTAATTGCTGCTTGTTTTATAGTGGAATGTTGGTGAGTGTGCCCAGTTTTACGGTTTAGTGACAATAGCTGGGTTTTGGTGGTTCGGGCTGCCTGGTCACTTACTGTCCCCAGGTGTGACGTCTCACTTCTATCAGGACCCAGCAGTGAGCTAAGAGCAGCTTTTCAAATGAGGAATAGCGACAGTGTGGGCTTCTTCCACAGCCAACAGTGCTTTCTCTGCAGTTTGGTGGTCTCCAAGCGACACCTTTGCTGCTTATGCACATCCAGTGATGTTGGACAGGCTGGCCCAGACACGCAGTTTGTCCTCGTCCAGGGATTCACTTCAAGCAGGAGTATTATGGGTTGTCATAGCTTGGTGCAATGGACCCAAATGTGGTCTATGTTCTCATCAGAACCCAAGGAGGCTTGTCACATGCTGTATTTCTCTGTGGAGTATTGTGGGAGATGCTACTACCTGCTCTCCATAGAAAGGATTTCCAGGGCTAGAGAGATGGCTCAGAGGTTAAGAGCACCAACTGCTCTTCCAGGGGTCCTGAGTTCAATTCCTAGCAACCACATGGTGGCTCACAACCATCTGTAATGAGATCTGGCGCCCTCCTCTGTGTACATAATAAATAAAAAAAAAAATCTTGGGGCTGGAGAGATGGCTCAGAGGTTAAGAACACTGACTGTTCTTCCAGAGGTCCTGAGTTCAATTCCCAGCACCCATATGGTGGCTCACAACCATCTGTAAAGAGATCTGGCTCCCTCTTCTGGCCTGCAGGGATACATGCAAACAGAACACTGTATACATAATAAATAAATAAATCTTTAAAAAAAAAAAAAAAATCTTTAAAAAAAAAAAAAAAGAAAGAAAAGAAAGGATTTCCCACTGTGCCTCAGGCCCCTGGACTCCTTGAAACATCAAAGAGGTAGGGCCCTAAACTTTCATAGGATTTATTTCCTATCCTTTTTAATTTTATTATTATTATTCTAATTTTGTTTGTGTGTGCAAACGAGGGCAGTTGCTCACAGAGTCCAGAAGTGAGAGTTGGATTCTCCATAGCTGGAATTACAGGCAGTTGTGAGCTACCTGACATCAGTGCTGGAAGCTGAAATTCATCCTCTGCAAAAATATGCACTCTTTTTTTTTAATTTATGTGCACTGGTGTCTTGTCTGCATGTATGTCTGTGTGAGGGTGTCGGGTCGCCTGGAACTGGAGCTACAGACAGTTGTGTGAGCTGCCATGTGGGTGCTGGGAATTGAACCTGGGACCTCTGGAAGAACGGTCAGTGCTTTTAACCACTGAGCCATCTCTCCAGCATTCACTCTTAGCCATTGAGTCATCTGCCAGGCCCGTCAGTCTTTTACTGGCCAAACAGGATGTTCCAAGCAGATACAGACATTACTACCCTACCTGTTTGCTGTCCAAACTAAACTGCTCAAGGTGTGATTCATAGGCACTGCTTATATTAGCAGTAACAGTGAAAGTGGGCATTCTACTCCTTCCCCAAGCTACTCTCAGCAAGGATGCATGGTGGGTTTTGTGGCCTTTGGGCTGGCCGATGTCAAACCCATGCATCTTCCTGTGCTGGTGGTCTAGGCTGCTGGTGCATTTGGAATCAAGAGTTCTACCTTTATGGTCTCTATCAATGAGGAGAAGCTCTGAGTCTCTACCAGGAATCTTCAACCCAGCGAGAATTCCAGCCACTCAGGCTTGCTGTATGCCCACCTTTAGGATTAGCAGTTTACAGTCACATGGTGCACTTCCTTATGGGACTTGTCTTGGTGTGGCCATCTTTTCCAGTCTCACACTTTATCTGCCTGGGTGGAGTGAGAGCCCTGAAGAGTACAGAGAGGCATCTGCAGAGGACTCTAAGAAGAAAGCATATCTCCTCAGACTGCTTCCTTCTCCATAGTTCCTGGATTTGCTTGTTTGTACCCATGTTGGCTTACCTCATAGCCACCACCAAACAGAGGGAAGGAGCCCTTCCCCACAGCCTCTTATGGGTTATGTTGCTTATGATTTACTAGCATAATATGTCATGTGGAAGGAGGGTTCCCCCCACCCCGGAGCTGAGGACCGAACCCAGGGCCTTGAGCTTGCTAGGCAAGCTCTCTACCACTGAGCTAAACCCCCAACCCTGTTTTTTTTTTAAGATTTATTTATTATGTACACAGTAATCTGCCTGCATGTATGCCTGCACACCAGCAGAGGGCATCATATCTCATTATAGATGGTTGTAAGCCATCATGAGGGTTCTGGGATTGAATTCAGGACCTCTGGAAGAGCACCCAGTGCTCTTAACCTCTGAGCCATCTCTCTATCCCTCTGGAATGAGTTTTAAAGGCCACAGGACATGGTTATTCCTTTCATAATAACCCTCCCTCCACAAGCAGGAAATCAGACTGATATACTACTGGTTAGCTGCAGGTGCATTTATGTATACACACATGTGTGTCTGAAGTGTGTGCACATGTGTATGTGTGCAGGGCTCCTAAGCAGTATATCTGGCCTTCACCTGTCTGTACATGTGCTTCGTTCTTAGCTACTACAAGGCAGATCTCAAGCTATTCCTTCTCCTATGAAAGGTGGATACTCATTGGGCCAGCCATCGATTGTACTTCATAGCCAATGAGATGTTACCATTCTTTCTCTGTACCACATGAGTTGCTATATTCTTCCATCTAGGGAGAAGAAAGAAAACTCTACTCATCCCCTTCCCTTTAACTGTGTCCCTCCTCTTATCCTGTATGCTATAAAAGAGTTGTCTTTAGACACTTCTCTTCTTGGCTGTGAGCCTAGCCTTTAATGGCTGAGCCATCTCTCCAGCCCCAGACACTTTCCAGTGAATGCACAAGGCACAAAGCCTGGATAATGATGCATTACATATACAGATGAGTGCTGACAGAGGGGTGGAAGTGGAAGACTGTTTCCAAGTGACATCATTTTGAATGTCACTAGGTGTGTTAGACTGAACAATGAATCTCCAAAGATTTCTGCACATGTGACTATGTTATCTTTCAGGACAAAAAGGATTTTGCAGGTTGACTAGGAACCTCAAGATATGAAGCCAGGACATGGTTCCCAGGATAAAGACACTTGCCACCAAGCTTCAGTCTGATCCTTGGGACCCACATAGCAGAAGGAGAGACCCAATCCCCCCCCCCAAGTTGTCCTCTGGCTTCCACCAATGCACTGTGGTACATGGACATAATACACACAAATAAAACAAACAAACAAACAAATAAATAAATAAATAAAATGCCAGATGTGGTGGCACACACTTTTAATCTCAGCACTCGGGAGGCGGAGGCAGGCAGATCTCCATGAGCTCAAGGGCAGTCTGGTCTATGTGGTGAGTGAGTTCCAGTATATCTAGGACCCACATAATGAGAACCTGTCTCAAAAATAAAAACAAAAAAGTATAAGATGGAGGAATAAGTATCTCCTGTTGCTGGCTTCAAAGTTGGAGGAGACAGATCAATAGCAAGTGTTATGCCCACATCTTGAGCCCCCCAGAGACCACCAGGAGTCTGAGTTCATATACAAAAGCAAAGAGCCTTTATTGCAAGCTTGAGCTTGGGCTCTCTGTTTGTTCCAACACAGCGGCTGGATCAGGGAAAGCCCTGAGCTCAGTTATGGCAGGGTTTTTAAAGAGTAAAGGATTGTGGGGGTAGGGGAATTCCAGATTCAGATGGGGTTTGAACTCCTGACTGGGTAGGAGTGGGGCACCAAAGTCTTGTCAAATAAGAATTGATACTGGCATTGCTGCAAGGAAATTAACAACTTATATATAAGTGATGTAAGGTATCCTTAATGTTCTGGAGCATCTAGTACTTGTTTATCTCAATTCTGATTGGTCCCCTGTGGGGTACAGTTTGTGGCTTTTCCTGGTTATTGTAATGGTGAGGCCTAGTCCCAATATTGTTAGTCTGCAGCCTATCATGGCTGCACTCATGTTAAGTTAGACCTCTTCACAAGGAGTGTGTACATTCTCTGAAAACTTTGAACTGTCGGCAGCTGTTGTCCAGAAAGGAAGGAACAGGGTTCTAACAATGACTCCAGTGAACAAGAAGAGGAATTCTCCCCTAGAGCATCCAGAAAATAACACAGTGCTGTCAACCTCTTGTTTTCAGCCCTCTGAGGCCCATTGCCCCAGATTTCTGACTTCTGCAACAAGGAAATAAAATGAACAAACATTTAAGCCACTAAGTCAGTGGTTTTTATTATGACAGCAGAAAAATTACAAGCAAGCAAGATACCGTGTCCCTCAAGTCTTTCTTCCTGGGGACAACTCTGAGAATGTGAGAGCACTGAAAGCTCTGACTGATTTTTATCCTGATCTAGAGATGGTTCCAGGAAATGACCAAGTTGGAAAGGAAAACACAAGCCAGTGTTCCCCTCTTTTCCTCTTTTTCCAGGAGAGGAACATGGGAAGTACACAGCAGAACATATACTGTACAAGATATTAGTTGTTTCTCCATGACTGCAGCAAAATCCTGATGCAGAAAGACTTACCATGGAGAAAGATTTTGGCTCACAGTTTCTGGGGTTCCATGGCTGCTGGACTCCATGAACTCGGGAAGAACATCAAGAAGCAGAGACACAAACTGGGAAGAAGGGTAACTTTCAAGGCATGTCCCCAAGCACCCTACTTCTGCCAGCCAGGTTCCACTTCCAAAAGTTCCACAGCTTCCCACAGTAGCACTGCCAATAAGGGGAGCGTTTATTCACTCACATTTCCTATAGAAAGAAGAACAAGTAGACTCAAAGAGAAAGCCTGTCTCAAAAACCAAGAAGAAGGAAGAGGAAGAGGAGGAGGAGGAAGAGGAAGAGGAGGAGGAGGAGGAGGAGGAGGAGGAGGAGGAGGAGTCAACTCCAACCCTTATCTACAGAGGGAAGATGTTCCATAAACAGGTATTGTTTGCACTAGCTAAGCCTGGTGGACTCCATTCACAGCACGGAACACAGAGAGCACT